CACGGCTGGTCCTACGGGGGCTTTCTGTCCCTCATGGGGCTCATCTGCAAACCCAACGTCTTCAAGGTGAGTCTGGACACGGGGTTGTCACTGTGGCTCTCACAGCTTTTGTCCCTCTTGGCAGCTGGAAGTTGGATTTTGGGCTTGTTTTTAATGGACAGGTGGAAGTGTCCCTCATTCCTGCAGTCTTGTACCTTGATAAAGCTCACACCTGGCTGGGGCTGGAGGAGGATGGCCCTGGGATGGGCTCCTTTCCCCAGTGACTGCCTGTAGCTCCTGCCTACAATCCTGTGTCCTGCTCCAGCTCACACCTGGCTGGAGGAGGATGGCTCTGGGATGGGCTTCTTCCCCGGTGACTGCCCGTGGGGGATATCCAGTGAGATAATTGATGTGCTATTCCCAATCCCCTTCCCAAGTCCCCAGCACGCTTTCTGGATCATTCCACAAGCCCTCCTTGAAAAGGAGCAGCCTTTAGTGCTGGTGTGCAGGAATTTGCCCCGTTGTGACCATGAGAGGGAACAGCAGGAGGAGGAACCTTGGGCTTTACGTGGGCTTGCTGAAGGAGAATCCCTCTCTGAGCGACACAACAGCCCAGAGCCTGATTTTTCCTGCCTCCTCAGGAAAACAGGGAACACCTGAACTCTTCAGCAGGTGGTAACTGAGGCTGTCTCCTGTCTCCCTGTGTGCCAGATTGCCATAGCAGGTGCTCCTGTCACAGTGTGGATGGCCTACGACACCGGCTACACCGAGCGGTACATGGACATCCCGGAGAACAACCAGCAGGGCTACGAGGCTGGCTCTGTGGCATTACACGTGGAAAAGCTTCCCAACGAGTGAGTGCCTGCTCAAAACCTGCTCCTGGGTCCTGCTGGCTGCCACCAGTGGTGCCTCTGCTCAATCCCAGAAGAACTGGGTGGGTTCTAACCCGTTTAACCCCCGGGGCTGGTCGCTGCCATGGCACCCGCAGCCCCCTCTGCCAGGGAGGGGTTGAGGCCATGGCCTGGCACTGCTCTTGCTCAGTTTTGGCTTGCCCAAAGAGCTGGCAGGTCTTTGCTCAGACCCTCTGCAGAGCTTTTAGGTGGTTTTCCAACTTGTCCTCATCCTGTTTCTCCTCCTGTTTTCTCACCCCATCTCCAGGCCAAACCGTCTGCTGATCCTCCACGGCTTTTTGGATGAAAACGTGCACTTTTTTCACACCAACTTCCTGGTATCGCAGCTAATCCGGGCTGGGAAACCTTACCAGCTGCAGGTAGGAGGGACAGGAGCGGAGTGGGGAGGTCTCATAGGCCTGGGAGAGTTCTCTGCTGTGTGTTCTGGGGGCGGGAGGAGGTGGAGGCAGCTGCTCCCACATCCTGCTGCGATGTGGGTGGCAGTAAACACCTCGGTGGAGGCCGGGAGGTGGCACTGTGGCTGTTCCATCGCTGGCAGATGTGGCACGTGCAGGCAGGGCTGCTGCCCTGGGCCTGGAACTTTCCTTCTCCACAAGCTGTTGCTGTCCCACTTGGCTGGTGGCAGCAGAGCTGGGAGGGGGTGTTGGGTGCTCCAGACCCTCCCTGGCACCTCTTTGTCCCGATGGAGACTGGGTGGAGGGGGCAGGGCTGGCGTTGGGGGAGTTTTGTGCCCGCCGAGTGACCACCCCGTGTCTGCCCCTGCCCAGATCTACCCCAACGAGAGACACAGTATTCGGTGCCCTGAGTCAGGGGAGCACTACGAAATCACGCTGCTGCACTTTCTACAAGAATACCTCTGAGAGCACGAGCCTCTGCGAACTGGACACTGACAGCTCACCCCCAACTCCCGCGCCCTCCCGCCCCCCACGGCCGTCGAACCCGGAGCACAAGGGGCTGAGCGCCCACGGCGGGCTGGGTGTCGTTCCCCCCCCCCCAAAAAAAGCGAGGGGAAGGCTGGAGGGCACCTTCCCTTTCTGGACAGTGCCACCTTCTTTCACTTTCCAAGCTGGAGGTCTGCCCCTGCTCGGCTGCTCGTCCTCTTCCTCTCCTCCAGCCTGGCTGTTCAATGCTTTTTTTGCTGCTACTCCCTCTCTCCTGGGAATCAATGGACAGTGGTCTGTCTCCCGAGGCTGAGGTTTGTGTCCATCTCTCTCTCTCCCCACCAGTCCTTTTCCATCCTTCTCCCCCCTTTTCCACTGCCCCTGTGCAGTTCCCACACTCTTAACCTGCGAGAACTCAGTGCCTGTGTTGGAAACGGAAGAAGAGCCGAATCAGAAGCTGCCTTAAGCCAGGAGTGGGAGGGAAGAGAGAACTACCTACTGCTAACCCCGGGGATCGAGCTGTGACCTGGCCCTGCTGCCACTCTGGAGCCCTGGGATGTGAAGAGAGCTCTACAGAAGCATGCAACACTAGTCTTTTTTCTTTTTCTTTTTATTTTTTTTTTATATGTATCTATCTATTTTGCAGTTTCATTTTGCAGAGCAGATGGAGGAAGTGGCTGGGGCCGGTGACGGCGTCCTCTGATCCTTCCTCTCATGGCCGCTCGCGCGCAGAGTTGTGCCAACCACAGGTAGCACTGGCAGCTGGCTACAAGCAGAGCCTCTCTCCAGAGCTCACAGCAGCATTTGGGTTTTTTGCAACACGAGATGGATGATATTTATGCAAATCCTCCCTCCCCTCCGTTCTCTGTGCCGCCTCCCCATCCCACCTTCTCCTTTCCCCTCCCCTCCCACACCCACCCCGAGCTTTCAGATGTGCACTGAAATTGGCTGTGCTTCAGTTCTCTGCGGGTCAGTGACTGGTCCCCCTTGCCCATCTACTCAGCAAACGCTCTCTCCTGGTTTTTAATTTACCTGGGCAACAGGAACTGCAGTTCTGGGGAAGGGGGGATTGAGCAATCACACCTCAGGGGAGCACGTCCCCCCCCTTTCAAGCCAAGGGTTCTGCCAGGGGGCAAAACGCAACCAGAAACAAACCCCACCCAAAACGAACCACGTTGACTTGCCCTGGAGTATTTTAAGTGCGTATTATGAAAAGAAAATATTTTTATGGATTCTTATTCTTTTATAATTATGAGTGTAAGATGTAGCGACTCATTAAAATATTGGAAAGAGAGGTGGTGGTGCCTTTGGGCGGGGGGTGGTGGAAGGGCATGGCAGCTGCTGCTCCCACAGCCAGAGCAGCTCTGCTGAAAGCCAAGAGCTCTGTTCCATTCTGGGGGGAGAATATTAAATCCCTGATGCTCTTTGGGGGATGCACCATCCCAGCAAACTGAGGGCTGCCCTGGGGGTGGGCACCTCACCCCACACCCCACATCCCTCCCGTGGGATTTCGGGGCGCTGATCCCACGCTGGGACACAGCAGGAGCTGCTTTTTGCAGAGCTGGGCCTGCCTCTGCTTGCCCTCAAAGCTTCCCCAACCTGGCCTTGCCTCCTCCACGGGAGCCAGGCATTAATTAGCCCTCTGTTAATGCCCCGAGGATGCTGCCTGAGGCTTGTTTTAAATGCAAAGCCTCTTACAGCTGGAGCGTTTTGTCTCCTGAAGACAACTGGGAGCACGTTTCTCTCCCCCTTTCTTTGTCCCCGTGCCCAAATAATTGTCCCAATTACTGCAGTTTGTTGTTTGGCCTCTGCAACACAACCCCGGATGCGGTTTTGAGGTCGGAGGGGCGGAAGGAGGGACACGATGGAGGGAAAGTTGCACCTCTCTGAAGGGTCTGCCAGAGCACCCTGCAGCCAGCAAAGCTGCTCCCTCCCTCCCTGCCACCCTCACAGCCGCCTGGGTGCCTGAGGATGGTAAGAAGCTTCATTTTTGCAGGGTTTGTTGCTTTCCAGTCTTAATTTAAACCGCCTTTTTTTTTTCCCCTGTCCCCGAAAAGCCAAGTGTTTCTTAAAATGCCTTAAAAACGCTCTTGTCTAGAAGAGTTTGCGGATCTGTCGGCTCCTCTTGATCCCCCTGGCTCGCTGCAGGATTGTTTGGAGCCCTAAAGAAGGGGTTGCTTGTCTTCTTTTTGAGGGGTTTGAGAATCCCGAGAGGAATTAAGTGGGAAATCGCCTCCCGCACTCCCGAGCTATTCCATATGGAACAGGATTGAAATACAAATGATGGGGGAGGTCCCTACCCCATCACCCCCCCCAGGGAAAGGTAGTGGGAAGAGGGAGCAGCTGGGTGTGCTGAGTGGAGGATTTGCAGCTGGAGGATGAAGTTGAGTTCATTTCCTGAGCAGTAACACCGGGGAGGAAGCGGCGGCTGCTGGGGGGAAACTGGGCAAAAACGGCTCTTCCTCGAGAATTTGGGACTGGAGAGTGGCTGGGGAGGCATTTCTGCCACAGAAACCCACCCTGTGGGGCTTTATTTTTAGGTGGAGGGAGAACAGATGTTCTCGAGGGCTTATTTTTAAAACAAAACTCGCTCCTCGAGCTGCAGAATTAGCTCAGAAAAGTCACTCCTTGCCCCGAAAGATGCTCTCATGGAAAACTTCCTGGCATCTCCATTCCCAGGGCGGGTGGGATAAAGGTGTGACGGCAGTGGAAAGTCTGGGGGTGTCTCAGGCATTTGATCTCTGGCCTGGGCCGTGCAGGCAGCACCCCCAAAATACCTGGAGTGGCTCAGGAATCCCAGGATCCCCCAGGGGAGGTGTGGGGTATCCATGGGGAAGGCACGGGGGCTGCGGTGGAAGGGGCTGGGCCGGGCCGTGTGCGTGTGTAAAAGGGTGTAAATTGATCTTGGAAAATCCTCAGGGAGGGATTTTGGTGGAGCACGTCCACGCAGGCACCCCGGGAACAGATGAGAGGCTTCAGTCCTGGGCGTGGAGCAGCAGCTTCTCAGCCTCTGGAGAGGAACCTCCTCTCTCTCTGGGTCCATCTCCAGCCACTCGCTCTCGGAGGCTGGAGTGGATTTCTGGGGGATTTCCAGGGAAAACAGCTCCATCCAGTTGAGTCATCGCAGCTCCTGCTCCGCTGGGCTCTGCCTCGGGTCCCAAAGCTCCCCAAAGCTGGGATTGTGGAATCACAGGATGGTTTGGGTCGGAAGGGACCTTGGAGATCCCCTCTTGTTGAGCTGTCTCCGATGAACACACGGGCCCTGCTCTGGAGGGGTCCAGACATGACCCCCCCTCCTTTTGCTTGGGGCTCTGTCCTGCTGGTACTGAGTTCCTGAGAAGGCTCCTCCTTCACCCTGCTCCTTGATGGTGCTGGGAGAGCCATTGTGGGAAGGGCAAAAAGAGGGACAATCCAGTGGTGGAGAAAACCAGCAGGATTTTGCAAATAAAGAACGGGGAGAGCCCATGGGGACAACCAGCCCCGTCCCTGCTGCCCTTCTGCCTGGATTTGCTTCCTCCCCCCATCCAGGCTCTGCTCTCTCCCAAAGCTGCTCCCAAAAAGGCCAGTAAATGCCACCCAAAGGGCGGCTGAGACCTCCTAAGCTCCTGTCAAACAGCGGCGAGGCTGCTCAGGAGCTGACCCAGCTGATGGAACCAACGTGTCGCTCTTCCCTCCGGCTCGGCCGCTCTGTTTGCCTTTCCCTGCCTCCCCCCTCTCCCCTAATCCAGGCTGGAGCTGCTCCCAGGGCTCAGCCCGGGGCTCCCCTGACCCTGCCCTCACCATCCCCCCAGCTGGGAGCCCTGGCTGTGACTCTGGGGGTGCTGCTGGCCCTGCTGGGCTGCGCCGCCGCGCCGGATCCCACCCTGGAGGAGGCCTGGGAAGAGTGGAAGAGTCTCTATGCCAGGGAGTACCCAGGGGTAGGTCCTGCTCCCCTCGAAACTCCCGGCACGTGCTGGGGTCGGTTCTGGGGGAACCTCATCCCGTGTCCCCCGTGCTCCCAGGGGACATTCCCGATTCTTGTGGCAGGAGGATGAGACCTTCCGCAGGGAGATCTGGGAGAAGAACCTGCGCCACATCCAGCGGCACAACCGGGAGGAGGCGCAGGGGAAGCACAGCTACCGCCTGGCCATGAACCACTTCGGGGACCTGGTACCTGCTGACACCTTCCCTGGGGACCCCCCGGAGCACCCAGGGCTGGATTGGGGGATCAGGGACCCCTTGGTGTATCCAGGGCTTGATCCAGGGACTGGGTACCCCCAGCTGCTTCCCAGGGCTCGGTGGCTGGTGGGGCCCTGTGGTGCTGCCCTTGGCATCACAGGGGGTTTCCCTTGGTGACCTGCAGACAAACGAGGAGTTTAATCGGCTCCTGAACGGCTTCACCCCGGCACAGCACGAGGAGCTCAGGCCGGTCTTCCGAGCCTCGGCCACCCTGAAGACCCCAGCGAGCGTGGACTGGCGGGCCAAGGGCTACGTGACGCCCGTGAAGAACCAGGTGGGCTCAGGGTGGGGGGTCTGGCCGGGGCTGTGGGAGTCTGGGCAGCAGAACCAGGCAGCAGCATCCTCCCCACCCCCCCCCAAATCTTCTGGGGGACCCAGAGGTGCAGCTCACATAGTTTTGGGTGCTGTGACTTTATAGCTGAGAGCAGCACCAGGGGGGGGGTCACAGCATCCCTGCCTGGGATGGTTTTGGGGCAGTGCCGTGACCCCCTCTCCTTCACTGATCCCATCTCATCCAGGGGCTCTGCGGGTCCTGCTGGGCCTTCAGTGCCACAGGGGCCTTGGAGGGGCTGATGTTCAAGCGGACGGGGAAGCTGGTGGTGCTGAGCGAGCAGAACCTCATCGACTGCACCCGACAGCTGGGCAACCACGGCTGCAGGGGCGGCCACATGGACCGAGCCTTCCAGTACGTGCGCGACAACGGCGGCCTCAACTCGGAGAGTTTCTACCCCTACACGGGCATGGTGAGGGATGGCAGGGCACCCAGGGCCGGGGTAGGGCAGTGCCAGCATGTCCCTGCCACGGTGACACCCTCCCTCTCCCAGGACAACTCCTGCTGCCGATACAACCCCCGGGACAAGGCGGCCAACTGCTCCGGCTTCGGGAGGGTGGCGCAGGGCAGTGAGGAGGCCCTGGCGCAGGCGGTGGCCACCGTGGGCCCCGTGTCGGTGGCAGTGGATGCCAGCTCCTTTCGCTTCTACAGCTCGGGTACCGCATGCTCCCCGAGGCGGGGCCGCGCTGCCGAGCCCCAGAGCTGCCCCAGGGGAGTGGGATCCACCGCCCCCGGGAGGAGGGAGCGGGGCTGGCCCCCTGGCTCAGCCCAGCTCTGCTCTCCCCAGGAATCTTCGGCTGCGGCTCCGGCAACCGGAGTACGAACCACGCCATGCTGGCCGTGGGCTACGGCACCGCCCGGGTGGGCGGCCACAACCTCAGCTACTGGATCCTAAAGAACAGGTGAGGGCTGAGCGTGTGCCCCCCCCGGACCCCCCCACTGCCCCTCCCAGAATCACGGGGTCACCCAGGTTGGAAAAGCCCTCTAAGATCAGGTCCCACCACTCCCCCGGCTCTGCCAGGGCCAGCACCAACCCGTGGCCCCGTCCCACGAGGGCTCTGGTTTCCCTCCTCGTCTCTCCTCGAGCCGGGGCTGTTCCCTGTGCCTGGGATCAAGGAGGAGCTCACTCCCATCTTTTCCTGCAGCTGGGCAAAGACGTGGGGAGAGCAGGGCTACATGACCCTGCTGAAGGACGCCGGCAACCAGTGTGGGGTGGCCAACCAGGCCAGTTATCCCCTGCCCTGAGCCAGGACAGCCCCCCCTCCCTGCCCTGGCTGCGCTTCCACGGCTGTTTCCTTCTGGAAAGGGGCTTTTCCATGGCTGTTTCCTTCTGGAAAGGGGCTTTCCTTCGTGTGCAGCGAGAAGCAATTAAAAGTGGCATGGTCAGTTGTCCTTGTCATGGAACCGTGGGATGGTCTGGGTTGGAAGGGCCCACAAAGCTCATCTTGTTCGCTCCCTGCCACGGGCAAAGGACACCTTCCAGGCTGTTCCAAGCCCAACCTGGATGCTCCCTCAGCACAATGCTTGGCATTCTCCAGGCCTCCCCTCCCAGCCCTTTTCCTTCCAGCTGAATCCCAAAGGCCACAAACCAGGGCTGGATTTTATGGCCTTGCCCCACGAGGCTGAGCCGACGGTGCTGCCCCTGCACTGCCAGCTCTTTAAAAACCAGGTCTTTGCCCCCCTGAACCTGCGTGACAAACACAAAACGAACCTCTCCCTCGTGCTGCTCTTTATTCCCCTCCATTACGGAATCCTTTTTGGGGGTTTCGGGCCTTGGGAGTGACTGGGGGCAGAGGGGACACGGGGCACAGCCTGTGTGGGAATCAGATGGGCTAAAGGCCTGGGGAAAGAACCAGCAGGTTTGTTTGGGGCTACAGAGTAACTCATTACAGGAATGGAGCTGCCACCCCGAGAGCCTGCCAGGTCCCCAGGTCACAGCCAGCAGCTTTTGCCTCGGAAGGAAGTTTTTGCCTTGTAGGGAATGTTTTCATGCTTGTGAAAGGTTATAACAGGCAGAGCGTGGCCCCGGGGACACAGGCTGAGTGGGACACTGCTGCCTCCTTGTCCCCAGTGTCACCCACAGCCCCTTGTCCCCACGGCCATTGTCCCTGTTGTCCCCTGTCCCAATGCCTCTTGTACCCTGAGCCCGTGGCCTCACAGCACCAAATCCTTGTGGTCCCCTGGCCCTACAGCCCCTTGTCCCTGCAGTCCCCTGCCCCCACAGCCCCGTGTCCCCAGGTTCCTGTCCCTGTTGTCCCTTGTCCCCTGTCCCACCCACACTTCCCCTGCCCTCATCCAACATGGCGGCCGCGGCGCCGCCGCGCTCTGACCCCTCCCGCCCGCCGTAGCCCGCGTTTCCTTTCCAAGATGGCGGCGCCCACGGGGAAGAGCTGCCGGCGGGCGTGGGCCGCTCTCGTTCCTGCCGCCTTGCTGTGCCTGGCGGCCCGGGCGGCCGCGGAACCGGGCTCGGAACCGGGCTCGGCCGGCTTCGACGTGCGGCCCGGCGGGGAGGTTCACTCCTTCTCCCGGAGCCTGGTGAGCGGCCGGCAGGGAGGGGAAGGGAGGGAGCGGGAGCGGAGAGGGGTACGCGCCTCGCGCCGATTGGCTGCGCGCCACGTCGCTCACGCCTCTTGCCGTGGGGATTGGCTGGACGCGAAGGGGGGGCGGGACCACCTGGGGGGGGGGG